GGAGAGCTGCAGTTTGCCCACTGGCCTATGTTCATCAAAGTATTGGTGGTGTGCTGAATTAGGGTGTAACCCAGGCTGAGTCCTGTGCTTTTAATCTTGGCACATGCAGACTCTTTTGGGGCCCCAGCCCATGCCAGCTGGCAAACAAACAGTCTTGCCTGTCACCCCCTCTAGGCTGCGGCTGTCCCCAACTGTGGAGCCCTCCAGCACCGTGGTCTCCTTGGAGTGGGTGGACGTTCAGCCGGCAATTGGGACCAAGGTCTCTGACTATATTCTGCAGCACAAGAAGGTGGATGAGTACACAGACACGGACCTCTACACAGGTAAGTAGGAAGCCCACGACCTCCCCTAAGGTTAGGATAGTATGACAGAGAAGGGAAACTGGGAGTTTCTAAAGCCTTGGGAGATTTGGCGTCATGTGACCTGGTAATACATTGGGAAATTTCATTGTTTGATGATTATCACCTGGCACCCACACCCACACCTGTGTGCTTTTTTTGGTATGACTTCAGAAGGGAGAGACAGCAAATTGTGGTTTGAAAGAAGTTCTGATTCTGAGATGGATCCTCAATGTCATCTGTTAAAGGGTTAGTTAACTCAGAAGAGGATTTGGCCTTTTCTGTAAATACATTATCGCTGGGACTGAGATAAAGAAATTCAAGGAATTGCCTTATCTAGTGAGATGTGCTGAGATAGTTGTCTGTAGTGCTGGGGAAGAGGGATTTGCAAAAGATTCAGACATGCAGGAGAAGATGAGCAACGTGGCCCTTTATGAGTGTGCACAGGGTTGTAATTGAGAGCGCTTTCCGAGTTCTTCTCAAAGTGTGACACGGCCAAGGAGCTGTGTCATCCTGGAGGTTGGGTCTGCCCGGGCAGGGCTGGCTCTAGGGCACGTTGAGAGCCTGGGGCCATGGGAGTGCTCTCAACTTATTCCAGGGGCCTGGTGCTGAGTTGGGTCAAAAGCCTGGGTCTGTGGTAGTCACCCTGGTGTTGGGCCCAGCCAGGAGCTTGGGTTCAAGGGTGCTTGTCTGGAGCCTGGATTTATGGGAGCTGATTAGGAGACAGGGCCACAGGGGCCACCTGAGGCCATGGGAGCTAGAAGGCACCAGGGTAGGTTGGGGGCCTGGGTTACTGGGAGCCTGGTGCCGTGGTGCTACTGGGAATGTGAGAAGCAGCAGCCACTGGGGTGAGCAGGGGCCTGGGTTCGCAGGAGCTTACACCTTGTAGGAGCCACCTACAGCCGAGGGGGCCAGGCTGGCCTGGGGTGGGGCTGCTCTGCGGCCTTCGGTGAAGTTGGGTGCTCACTTCTCTTCCACAGGGAGGGTTTCTCTCTGTACAGGCTGTCCCAGCTTGGGGAGCGGTTATGGCAGTGATATGACTCTATCTCTCCTACCTTCCTCAATGCATCTTTTCATTTTTGTACTTTACCCAAGTGCTACAACCCTTTGCCTGGAGACCTTAATTCTTGTGAAAGTATTTTGGGGCTTGGATAGTGGTTCAAATGGATATTTCTGGGGCATGGCAGGATGGTTGGAGGGGGAGGGGATGAGGGTAGGGGTGGGGATGAGTGCTGGAAATTCCCATGGCACCATTTTGCTAATATCACCCTCTGAATGATGACCACCCTTGTTTTAGGATTAAGTAAGTGAATCCCAGAGTGGTATGTGACTGTCCCAAATTCCCACACCCAAAGCATGGGGGAGCCAGGCTCACCGCCGGTCTGTGGTCCTCCCAGCTTAGCGCCTGTTCTTTATGTAACAGCCCACTCGAGGGTGGAAGACTGAATGCTAGTTTGCTGAGAGGTTTTCATTCTGTTTTATTTTAATTAGAAATGTCTATTTCATTTTCTGTGTCTATTGCTGTATGGTTTATATTGCTTAGTTTGTTAATATGGTAATTACATCATTGGATTTTCAAATGATGAAGCATCCTGGAATAAGTAAACCCTACATAGGCACGATGCGTTATCCTTTTTTATATATTGTTGGACTCGATGTGTTAAAATTTCTGTAGCATTTTTGCATCTGTGTTCCTGGGGGATTTTGTCCTATAGTTTCCTTGTCATGCGTGCTTTTGTCTGTTTTGCTATTAGAGTATTTCTGGCTTCACAAAATGAATATCTAAATAGTTCCTCCTTCTCAGTTTTCTGAAAGAGCTTGGTTAGAATTAGTAGTACTTATCCTTGAATTGTTTGATAGAATTCACCAGTGAAGTACAGATGCTTCTCGACTTATAATGGGTTGTAAGTTGAAAATATACTAAGTTAAAAAAAATGCATTTAAAATCCCTAACCTACTAAACTTCATAATTTAGCTAGTCTACCTTAAACGTACTCAGAACACATATTAGCCTGCAGGTGGGCAAAACCATCTGCCACAAGGCAGGACATGGGCAGTAAGGAGATGGCCGGAATGTGGGCAGGATGGTTACCGCCTCACCAATAAAGCCATTTTACACTTCCCCGTCTGGGGCACAATGAGGCCTGCTCCTCTTGTCTGTCCCTGTCCCCCAGTGATGGGAGGCAGCTGAGAGGAAACAGGGGCGCGGTCTCCCTCCACCAAGCCCTGTGCATAACCAGGGTATGTTACCTTCAGACCTTTTTGCTTGTATTTTATGCAAAATGGCTCATGTGAGGGCTGCAGTTGGAGGGCAGTGGGACCGTGGGCCACAGGGAGAGCCTGTGGAGTAGGGGAAGTTCATGCACCCCACCTTCCCCAGAGGGGCTAGGCTCTGATTATTTGGGGGTGGGAGGCTCCTGCACTTTGCCACAGGCATGGGGAGGGTTCTATCCCCACCCCTCGGTCCTCCCAACTCGGGTTGTACTTTCTAAGGTTATTTCCCCTACTTTGCCCATCCCCAGAACACAACATGTTAATCATGTTCAATATTTCTTACTATGCTCAGAAGCCACAATGACCACAATTAAAGCTACACACACATACACACACACACACACACACGCACGCACACACACACGCACGGACACACACACACACACACACACACACGCACACACAGCGTTCCAAAATGCATGAAGTAAAAACTGATAAAACTACAAAGAGAAACAGATAAATCTATAATTAAAGTCAGAGTTTTCAATACTAATCTCTAAATTATTAGACAAGAGGACAAAAAAAATCAGATCTATTTAGCATTTCTAGACACTCCACATTATTTTAGAGTGGACAGTGCACACAATGATAAACCATATTTTGAGCCGTAAACCAGTCTCAATAAATGTAAAATGGTTAAACTCACAAAACAAATATGTTTTCTAATATAGTGGAATCAAATAAAAAATCAGTAATCAAAGATATCTGAAGAATCCTCACATGTTTCGAAACTAAGTAATAAGCTTCTGAAAAATCCATAGGTCAAAAAAGAAAACAAAATAAAAATGTTAAAGTATTTGAACTGAATAAAAATACAATTTATTAAATTCTGTAGTAAGTCACAAAAGCAGGAATTAGAGGAAACACCTATATTATAAGAAAAATCTCAAATCAATAACGTCAGCCACCACCTTAAAAATCTAGAAAAAAGAGGGCAAACCGAAGCCTAAGTGAGCCAGAGGAAGGAAATAACAACGATCAGAATAGAAATCAATGAAATAGAAACCAGAGGAAATCAGTGAAACCAAAGCTGACCCTTTGAGGCTGTAAATTACGTAACGCTCTAGCCAGATTGATGAGATAAAGAGCGAGATAAGACAAATTACCAATGTCAAGGATGAGAGAGTGATATCACTACGAATTCCATAATAGATAATAACAGAATGTCACAAACAACTTTTGCCAGTACATTTTATAACTTATGTGACATGGACAGATTCCCTGAAATCCACAAGCTAACAAAGATCACTCAGTAAGGCGCAGACAACCCGAATGACCCCATAGTAGTAGGTAAGTAACTCCAGTCCCCATTTCTCCATCTAGTCCAGAAATGGAAAATCCAAGATTCTTCCTCTTGATAGTCCAAAAAAGCAGTTGCTGTGATCTAAGAGTTCCTTTTTTCTTTTTTGACAGAGGTAAAACTTACTTCCTTTTAGTTTCTTGGCCTGGAGTCACCTCCCACAGATATTACCCCTCCTCCTCCCTGCTGTCATTCAGAAGTTTAGAGATAATGACATAGTGTCTGCCTTCATCCTTACAGTTCCTTTAACAATTCCTTGTGTGACTTGATTTCCACTCTCTCCATTATCCAGTATCTCAGTGGGTAGTTGTCTTTAAAGAATAGCTCCAAGCCCAAAATTACAGATGGTCCCCAATTTACTATGGGTCAACTTATAATTTTTCACCTCTACAATGATGCAAAAGTGGCATGTATAATAAAGTACATGGATATTCAACATTTTATTATAAAATATATAATTTGGGATCCTCCCACAGTGCCTGCCATACATAGATGTTCAGTGTTCACCGAATTGAATTGTAGGCATATCCATGTCTTAACTTTCCAACTCTGACATTAATTCTTTGAGTGTTCTGTGGTCCTGTGGGGTTTTATGTAGTTTTAGAGACTAGCTGAGCATATAGTAGGCCTTCTAAAATATGTAGAAGATTTGGGGTGGAATATGAAAAAAAAACCCCACATCTTTGCTTCTGTGCCATCTTTTTTTTTTAAATTGATTTCAGAGAGGAAGGGAGAGGAAGAGAGAGATAGAAACATCAATGATGAGAGAGAATCATTGATGGCTGCTTCCTGCACGCCCCCTATTGGAGATTGAGCCCTGACCCGGAATCGAACTGTGACATCCTGGTTCATAGGTTGATGCTCAACCACTGAGCCACACTGGCCAGGCACTTCTGTGCCATCTTTACAGTGTCTCAAACATCTGGATACTGACCCTGACCCAAATTCAAGGATTTCAGCTTATTTGACTGAGGTGTTTTTTCTGGGAGCATGTAAGCCTAATGAAGGAGTATGGGCTTCAGCGAAGCTGGCTTCTGCTGTCAGTTTCCACCACATCTCACTGAGAAATCTAGGACCAGTCAGCATCTTTCCGAGGTCTCAGCCTCCCTCTCCGTGGGCCAGGAAAGATACCACCTACTTCCCAGGCGACGTTGAGCATCTAATGTAGCACAGTTCTTGGCACAAAACAGTTACTAGTAGATTTTAATTGCTTCTCATTTTCTTGAATTTAAAAAAAAATGAAAAGGAAAGTTAAATGTTAGGAAGAGAACAACAAAATAAGGGCCAAGACTTATTTTGGATAGAGAATTAGGATTACTCACACATTTGGCCAGGTGAGCCCAGAATAGGGAAATGCGGTCTTTTTCCTTTGATCTCTCCGGGATTTTTGCTGGCAGCCGAATGCAGTACT